ATTTGCCCAGGGTTACACAGGTGATATTTGAACCCAGGTCCTGGGACTCCAGAATCAAAGATCTTTCTATTATTGTACTACCCGGCCTCCCTAAGAAACAAGAGAGGACAAAAAGCCAATGGGAAAATGTATCCCAAACTGTAGTGATAAAAAGACCTGGAATGGAGAAGAAGCTGGGACATCATGTTCCAATTCCCACCCAAGGCCCTGTGTCTTTCCTTTCTCTCCTGTGTTACCATAAAATTATCACAGACTATGGAGGGGCCTTTGGTGCCTTGAATGGGCCCAAGGTCAGGAACAGTTGGTAGGAAGGAAGGAAATATCAAAATGAAGAGCATAGGCAAGACTTTTTCTTTTGGTGGCCGGGGGCTTTCAGATCCCTGGCAGTTCTGCCCAGGACCTCTTGTTCATCCATTGCAAAATGAAGGACTTTAGGACTGGGGACTTTGAGGGCCTGTGCCGGGACTCTAATAAGATCCTAGAAAAAAAATCCTCTTTATATATAGTGCGTAGCACAGTTCCTGGCACATAGTAAGTGCTATTTAAATGCTACTATTGTTATTAAACTTTTCTTAGGATTTTCTTGACCTTGAACAAGTCAGTTAATTTCTGGGCCTCAGTTTCCTCATCTGTAAAATGAAAGAGTTAGATTATATGACCTCTAGTACAATCTCCCAAAGTACTATCAAAGGTAGAATATTGGCAAATATCAAAAATCAGGGCTTAATTTCTTGTTCCTTGTCTAGAGTTAAGAAAGTGATGGAGAAAATGATAATAATACAGATTAAACTTTTTTTTAAAAAGTGGAATAGCCTGCCTGTGTGAGGAGTGAATTCTCCTTCCCACCAGAGGGTCTTTTAATGGAGGTTGGGTGACCTCTTGTTAGGGATGTTATCAATGGGATGTGTGGGTTGAATAGATGACTTCATAGGTCCCTTCTAGCTTTGACAGTCTTAAGACGAACCATTACACCTCTGATCCATCACTACAGGCTCCTTTCTCCCCCTGTTCCACCCTGAACCTTATGGTCAAATCAACTCCATCAAACACTCCTTCCTAGATGCCAATTCCCTCCCTCTCTGTGTTGTCTCTCCCCGATTAAACATAACCTCTTTGAAGGCAGCAGCTACTAGCTCGCATTTCTAAATAGTAAATAGTTGTTGTTGTTCAATGGTGCCCAACTCTTTGTGACCCCATGGAACCCATGGACTTTTCTTTTTTTTTTATAGTTAATATAAATGTATTTATTTTTAGTTTTCAATATTCACTTCCACAAGTTTTTGAGTTCCAAATTTCTCACCCCTCCCCCCACCCCAAGATGGCATGCATTCTGAATACCCCTACCCCTGGTCTGCCTTCTCTTCTATCTCTCCCCCCTCCCTTCTCTTATCCCCTTCCCCTTCTATTTTCCTGTAGAGCAGGATAGACTTCTGTACCCCATTTCCTGTATTTCTTATTTCCCAGTTGCATGTGAAAACATTTTTTTAAAAACATGTGTTTTTAAAACTTTGAGTTCCAAATTTTCTCCCTTCCTCCCTCCCCACCCACCCTCATTGAAAAGGCAAGCAACTCAATATAGGTTATACATGTGTAGTTATGCAAAACACTTCCATAGTAGACATGTTGTGAAAAACTAACTCTATTTCCCTTAATCCTATCCTGCCCTCCCATTTATTCTATTCTTTCTTTTGACCCTGTCCCTCTTCAGAAATATTTGCTTTTGATTACCCTCTTTCCCAATCTGCCCTAATCTCTATCATCCCCCTGCTCTCTTGTCCCCTTCTCCCCCTATTTTCCTGTAGGGTAAGACAGATTTCCAAACCCAATTGAATGTGCATGTTATTCTCTCCTTAAGCCAAATCCTATTAGAATAAGATTCCTCATTCCCTCTCACCTTCCCCTGTTTCCCCTCCACTGTGAGAGACTTTTCTTTTGTTTTTTTTTTTGTGAGATAATTTACCCCATTCTACCTCTCCCTTTCTTCTCCAAGTATCATCCTCTCTCATCCCTTAATTTTATTCTCCAGATATGACCCCTTAATCTTCAACTCACCCTGTGCCCTCTATCTATCTATCTATCTATCAATATATACATACATAATTTTTTCCTTCAACTACCCTAATGACAAAGTTCTCATGAGTTACAAATATCATCTTTCCATGCAGGAATGTAAACAGTTCAATCTTAATAAGTCTCTTATGATTTCTCTTTCCTGTTTACCTCTTCATGTTCCACTGGAGTCCTGTATTTGAAAGTCAAATTTTCTGTTTAGCTCTGGTCTTTTCATCAGGAATGCTTGAAAGTCCTCTATTTCACTGAATGACCATTTTTTCCCCTGAAGGATTATACTCAGTTTTGCTGGGTAGGTGATTCTTGGTTGTAATCCTATCTCCTTGGCCCTCCGGAATATTATATCCATCCTTTGCCCTCTGGAATATTATATTCCATGCCCTGGGTCCTCTAATGTGGAAGCTGCTAAATCTTGTGTTATCCTGATTGTGTTTCCACAGTACTTGAATTGTTTCCTTCTGGCAGCTTGTAATATTTTCTCCTTGACCTGGGAACTCTGGAATTTGGCTACAATATTCCTAGGAGTTTTCCTTTGGGGATCTCTTTCAGGAGGAGATCTGTGGATTCTTTCAATTTCTATTTTGCCCTCTGGTTCTACTATATCAGGGCAGTTTTCCTTGATAATTTCTTGAAAGATGATGTCTAGGCTCTTTTTTTGATCATGGCTTTCAGATAGTCCAATAATTTTTAAATTCTCTCTCCTGGATCTATTTTCCAGGTCAGTTGTTTTTCCAATGAGATATTTCACATTGTTTTCTAATTTTTTGTTCTTTTGGATTTGTTTTACAGTGTCTTGATTTCTCATAAAGTCACTGTCTTCCAATTGCTCTATTCTTTTTTAAGGAAGTATTTTCTTCAGTAATCTTTTGGACTTCCTTTTCCATTTGGCCAATTTTTCTTTTTAGGGCATTTTTCTCCTCATTGGCTTTTTGGACCTCTTTTGCCATTTGGGTTAGGCTGTTTTTTAAGGTGTTATTTTCTTCAGTATTTTTTTGGGTCTCCTTTAGCAAGCTGTTGACTTGTTTTTCATGATTTTCTTGCATCACTCTCATTTCTCTTCCCAGTTTTTCCTCTACTTCCCTTACTTGCTTCTCAAAATCCCTTTTGAGCTCTTCCAAGGCCTGGGACTGATTCATATTTTTCTTGGAGGCTTTGGATGTAGGAGCTCTGACTTTGTTTTCTTCTGGTTGTATATTTTGATCTTCTTTCACCAAAGTAAGATAATATAGTCTGACTCTTTTTGCGCTGCTTGCTCATGATCCCAGCCAATTACTTGAGTTTTAAACTCTTTGTTAAGGTAAGAGTCTGCTTCCAATGTGGAGAGTGTACTGTCCCAAGCTTCAGGGGTTTGTGTAGCTGTTTTCAGAGATACTTGTAGGGACCTGTAAATTTTCAGTTCTTTCAAGGTGGTATGATAAAGGGCGGTGTTTACTCCTTTCCTGGCCTGTGACCACAGGTATTCCTTTCTGTCCCGTAACTGTGAGGAGGGGTTCCTCTCCACAGCCACTCCAAGCACCACCACGCCAGTGCTCCTCCTCACCCCAGCATTGCTGCCCAGAACTGTGACCCAGATCCACACACGGGCAAAGCAAGAGATTCCTGCCTCAGCACTGGCAAAGAGATCCCTGCAGTCCCTCTCTGATCAGCCACTGGATTCCCCCTCAGTCTGTGGGCCGGAAGCTTGGGAAGCAGTTGCCCCCCGCCAGGGCCAGGCTCTTGAGGAATGGAGCTGAGACCCCGCCTTCCTCTCTGACTACCGACAGAAACAGACTTTTCCCACTGACCTTCTAAGTTGTCTTTGGCATTCGTGGATTGAGGAGTCTGGAAACCTCCACAGCTGCCCGCGATTCAGTCCTCTGAGGCCTGCTCCAGGTTTGCTGTGGCCTGCGCGCCCACGCTGCGCTCCCAGCCCGGCACGATACACCTTTCTGATCAATCATCCAGGTTGTCTTGGGCTGGAAATTTGTTTCACTCTGTCTTTTTGTGGGTTTTGCTGCTTCAGAATTTGTTTAGAGCCATTTTTTATGAGTATTTGGAGGGGTTTGGGGGAGAGCTCAAGCAAGTCACTGCTTTCACTCTGCCATCTTGGCTCCGCCCCACCCATGGACTTTTCTTGGCACAGATACTGGAGTGGTTTGCCATTTCCTTCTCCAGCTCATTTTACAGATGAGGAAACTGAGGCAAACAGTGTTAAGTGACTTGCCTAGAGTTGTACAGCCAGTAAGTGTCTGGGGTCAAATTTGGACTCTGATCTTTCTGACTTGACTCCAGGCCCGGTGCTCTATCCACTGTGTCACCTAGCTTTTCCATTCCCAATTACTAAGATCAGAAGGTCCCAAATTCACGTGGCTCACAGATTGTTAAAAAATTTAGCAGAAGAATATGTGTAAAAGCTTCCCCCGCTGTAGAAAGCACCGACTTAGAGAAGTTACATATTCAGAGAATGTTTCGCTGGAGGAAGTAAAATTTCGAAAGGTCTTTGAGAAAAGAGAGGGCTCCACAGCACGGTGAACTGGAAGAGGACCTTGTAGGAGGGGAATTTTCATGAGAGAAGGTTGGCCTTAGGAACAATTGCTTAAGTATGCAAGTTGGACTGCCCAGAAACTGTCAGAGGGATTAGACTTGTTTGGAGGGGCCTCAGAGGGCAGAGCAAGCAGCAGTGGGTGGAAGTTACCAGGAGGCACATTTGGGCTCCGTGCCAAGAAAAGCTTCCTAACAATGACAGCTATGCAACAGTGGAACAGGCTTCCCAAGGAGAGAGCACATCCCCTTTCACTGGAGGTCTTCAAGCAAAGGCTGGATTGCATGTTCAGCATGTAACTAGTACAGCAGCTAATGGAAATGGGGAAGAAATACTGGATGACAGATTTCCAAATCAGCGGTAGCAAACTGAGCATGAAAGAAATAAAGGTTGGCCTAAAAGAAAGCATACTACGGGTAAGCTGAAGATGTGATCTATGCTTACAAATAACAACAATAACGATAATAATAATAATGTGTATTTGCATTAGCTCTGTATAGTTTACAAAACACTTTACATACTTTATCTCATTTCATTTTCAAAAGAGCCATATCAGGTAATTGCAATTATTCTCCCCATTTTACAGAAGAGAAAAACTGGGGCAAACAGGTTAAATGACTTGCCTAGGGTTGCACAGCTAGTAAGTGTCTGAGGCCAGATTTAAACTCAGGTCTTACTTTCTTTAAACCCAGTGCTCTATCCACTTCACAACCTGAAAGCCTGCACTCTCTCCATACCTGTGTCTGTGCCTAAGTTGTCAGAACCCTCCCCTCTCACACATCATCATCCTATTATTAGAAAGTATGGAAAGAGCCGGTGAACATTTTGTGGATTGGTTTAAACTTTCATAGGTGTTAGAGGGTCCCCAGCATAGAAAGAGAAACAAGATGATTTTAATTAACTTAATCCATGCCTCCTCCTAGAGGAAACAAAACACTTTGTTCTAGATAAGTTCAACATAACATTCACTCACCCTTGAGAACAGGGCCTAAAATCTAAATGCAGACACTTTTCCCAGTAGATGAAATAACGGTGTGATATTCAGTTTGAGTATCTAGAAACACTACCAGGATAAATGCAGTCAGGCACATAGAAATGGAAGCATCATGTTTTCTGAAAAGACCTGATATTTACTTGACCAAAGAAAAGGCACTAATTAGGATGTAAATCAATGCTCCTTGGGGTTTTTTAAATTTTTTTTTAGCAGACATAGGGTACAAATGTAGACATGACATTTTAGTGTCCCTCACAGAGAAATACTATTTAAAAAGTCATTTAATACAAATATATTTTATCTTGATTTAATAATTACTTTTTGCTAAATATTAGAATACCTATATAGAACATAACTGTTGTAAATTATTCTTATAAAATTCTCATGAGACTTAATAATGCCCATGTTTTGAAATTAAACCAGCTGGCTCTCAAAAGGTTGTCCAGGTTTTGAGAGATTCTCTCCTTAAGTTGTGTACCTTCTCTGCACTATAAGTCTCAAGTGCAGATTAATACTGCAATTGTTTTTTAAAAATCCTCAAGATTCAGTTCTACAGACTCTGCAGGCTGGTTCCTCAGGATTTCCTACACACTGAATGAGTTGAGCAGCCCTGTAACAAGAGAAAAAAAAGCAATTATTAATAATAGTAATAGCAACCACAACTCAAATTTCCACAAGGCTTTAAGGTTTGCAAAGCATTTTTCCTTACTCTAATCCTGTAAGTTGGGCAATGCTAGTATTATCATCCTTATCTTACAAGTAAGGAAACTGAGGCTCTGAGGGAATAAGCTCACCATTAAACAGCTTGTCCAGGGGTAGGGAACCTGGCCCCTCAAGGCCACATGTGGCCCTCTAGGTCCTCAAGTGCAGCCTTTTGACTGAATCCAAATTTCACAGAACAAATCCCCTTAACAAAAGGATTTGTTCTATAAAACTTGGACTCAGTCAAAAGGCTGCACTCAAGGCCGCAGGCTCCCCACCCTTGAGCTTGTCCAAAAGGGGATGTGAACTCAGGTGTTGACTGTTACATGACAGGCAAAAATCTAAGATTTACTGTTCAGTTGCGTCTGACTCTTCATGACCCTATTTGGGATTTTCTTGACAAAGACCCTGGAGGGGTTTGCCATTTTCTTTTCCATCTCATTTTACCGATGAGGAGCTGAGGCAAACTGGGTGAAGTGACTTGCCTAAGGTCACTAAGAATGTACGGCCAGATTTGAACTCACAAACATGAGTCTTCCTGATTCCAAGCCCAGTGCTCTATCTACTGAGCCACCTAGCTGCCCCAAGTCTAAGAACAGAAGTTTAGAATACATGACGTTTTTTATCTTTGTGGGGATGTACTAAAGAATGAAAACTTTAGCCTGCCATGCAAGGGTGTCCATGACAGGGGTCCAACGTTGCACTGTAGTCTGATCTCAAAGTTCTCCCCATCACAAACTCTAAAAAACCTGCCAAAGAGGCTGTCATTTCCCAGACTCACGTGACCTTTTTCTGTCTCCTTGAATGTTTTCACCTTATCCCCTACAACGTCACAGGGGTGGGGAACCTGAGGCCTTCTATCCAATTGGATTCAGTCAAAAGGCTGCCCTTAGGACCTAGAAGGCCACATGCAGCCCGAAGGTCACAGGTTCCCCACCCCGGCCTAGAATGACCCCTGACTATGAGGGGCTGGTGATCTATCACCGAGAAGTAAATGCCTTAGAATAGAAGTAACAACTCAAAACCAGTTCATCAAGGAAGGATGTGTCTATGATGGATTTTGTAATAGATTCTTCACCAATGAACCTTTCTGTATTTTCAAGCACTAGAGATTTAAGCTGGGCCCACAAGTTTTCCTTAGGGACACAGATAACACAAGGAATACAGAAACACACAGGGAGGCCATAGAGGAACACTGACCCCCATTGCCCCAGCTCACCTTCCCCTTTCTTTCTAAAAAAATTGTTTCTACAACAGCAGTACAATAAGCCAGTTAGAGAAACACCATCCCATAAATTCTACTTTTCCCTAATTTAATCCACAACCTATGGCAGCCCCAGAGTGAGAGAAGACTAGTGCATTCCTCAAAACTCCTGGAAACAACACACCTGCCTTTCTGCCCCATCTTTTTTGCAATCCTGGACTCTTTCTTATGTTAACATCTCCTTTCCCAACTCCTTTGAAATCTTAACCATCCTTTAAGGCCTAGCTCCATTCTTACCTGACTGTGAAGTTTTCTTCAAGCTCTCCACCCAAAAAAGAATCTCTTTCTCCTGAGATAATTCATGACCCTTTACTTGTTCTTCTCCTAGGCACTTATATTCTGCTTTGTATTGTTACTTAAAGTAATTGAGACAATAGCTTTGGAAACAAAATACATCCACAGATAGGAACAGTATTTCTATGTAGCAATAACAAAACCCAGGGGGAAATAAATGAAAAGACCTCAGCTGGAAGGGATCTCTCAGAGGCCCACTAGTCCAACCCCTTCATTTTACAGATAAGGAAACTGAGGCCCAGATAAGTTAAGTGACTTGCTCAAAATCACACAAGTAGTACGTATTGGAGGTAGGCTTTGAACCTAAAGCCATTACAGAGCCAGTGAGCACTCTCTTTATTGCACCATGATACCTCACTTAAATCTCATTTGAAAAGAACAACACATGTAAACTGTTTGGGAATCACTGGCCACTCTGGCAGCTAGGTGGCTCAGTGGGCAGAGCATCGGGCTGGGAATCGGCAAGACTCATCTTCATGAGTTCACATCTGGCCTCAGACATTTACTAGCTGTGTGACCCTGGGCAAGTCACCTAATCCTGTTTGCCTTCATCAGTAAAATGAGCTGGAGAAGGAAATGGCAAACTGCTCCAGCACCTTCGCCAAGAAAATCCCAAATGGGGTCACAAAGAGTCAGACGTGACTGAAACAACTGAACAACAATATCAAGTAAAAGAACACTCAGTACCTGTCTAGACACAATCATAAACTAGTCTCTCAAGAGAAAAAGAAGAACCATGTTATAATTATTTGTGCAAATGGCCTAGTCATTTGTACAAATAATTATAACATGGGGTTTTTTTTGCAAGTTTTGCAAAAATGCGTGGTTCTTGCATTTGCAAGATGGCACAGTGAATAGAGTGCTGGGCCATTTGTAGAAATAACTATAATATGGTTCTTTTTTTTCCCCTTTCGGGACTCGTTTAAGATTGTGTCTAGACAGGTATTGAGTATTCTTTGAATTGTTGTTCTTCAGCTGTCAGTTGAGTAAAATCTGGACTCGGATACTTACTAACTGTTGGACCTTGGGCAAGTCACTTAACCTTTGCTTCAGTTTCCTCATCTATAAAATGGGGATGACAAAAGAATGTACCTTCCAGAGTTGTTGTGAGGATCAAATGAGATAATAATTGTAAACCAAACCGCTTAGCACTGTGCCTGACCCAGAGTATATAAATGTTAATTAACTTCATGCTAGGATATTGGTACCAGACGGGCAAAGACTGTGGGTAATTCATCTTATTCATCTGTGTGGCTTCCCTAAAGCTTTGCATATAGTAGATGCTTAATGTTTGTTGATTGAAAATTTTCTCTCCAATGAATGACTTTTAAATATAGCCTAATTTAAGCTTTATTTATGGTCAAATGTAAATCCATAGACATATACTGGACAGAGTATTGAGAGTTAAAAACGGAAAAGTATTACACAAAGGATTGGATGTTTTAGAACTGTGGATTTAGAGCTGGAAAGAATCTTAAGAGGCTGTCCAGCCCAAACCCTTCATTTTATAGGTGAGGAAGATGAGGCTCAGGCAGGGCTAAGTGGATTACCCAAGGTCACAAAGATATTGTTATAAGCAGCATTTGAAACCAAGTCCTCAAAATCCAGTCAGCCCTCTTTCCCTGATACCCTGCTGAAATAGCCATGCTGCCAGAGTGAAATGCAAAGGAAACTAGAAAAATGGTAAACCAGATGTTCCCAGCCTTTTGAGGGAGAACAGCGATTTTTATTTACTTAAAGAAAGACTTAGATCAAAGTCCAGCAGACCATATAATAGGGCATTTGTGTGCCGTAGGCATGGCTGCAAAATTATGTTCTCTTCAAGTTCTCCTACCCTCTAAAGACTTTGACCCTTCACTGTAAACACAGTCTTCATTTATCATAAAAAAAAATTCCTACATACTATGGAAAGCAGAATTTTATAATGAAAACGAATGTGCATTTATAAATATTAAAAAGTATCCCTTAAGCCTCCCTTTGAGTAGTACCCTAGATAGGGTAGGACCAGCTGTGATGGTCAGATCTATGATGCAGGGATTAGAGGGTAGAGTTGCTTGGGAACTAGCTTCCAAAGGAGAGGGAGGTGTGGCTGGAAGAACAGAAAGGGAACATGATGCTGGCTTCTAACCAGACTCCTCTCTTAGATGGAAATGCCTAACAGTGGTTGCTGTTGGCCCCCCAGTAACCAAGTTGGGCTTTGCAATCAATCTTCCCATCAAAATCAAAACAAGAATTGTTCTCCCATTATGGAAGCATTTGTCTGAATGTGGCTAAACCTAGACATCCTTGCACATAAACAAATCTCAAAAAAAGCATCCTGTTCCGTAAGGGTTTTGCTGCTCCCCATTTTAAGCTAAGGGGGAAAAATGAATTTGAATTTAGCATTCCTCTATGTGGAATATACTGACCTAACCACATTTTCTAATTCCCAGTGAGCATAATGTTATTTTTAACTATCACAATTGGGGCAAGAGGGTAGTTAAGTTGTGGGATCAGAAAGGCAGAAGTTGCTGCCATCAGACTTAACAAGGGCACCAGTTTCTTTCTCACTGTGAGGTTTCCTGTAGATAGCTTATAAAATTAGGAAAAATCCAGCACCTTGGGAATTGTGTCCCTGCACTGATTTTTACTTTATGGCTATAGAATTGGATATATTGAAAGGAAAGAATGCAAGAAACCCTTGAAGCAGAGTATTACAGTTTGGAGAACCTGGTCACCCAAGTGGCTTTCCCAGCATGCTTTTATTTATGTGCTCCTAAACTCTGTGTCCCTGGGAAAAGTTTTGTGCATTGGACTGTGCATCTCTGGGATGCTGGGATTTTATGAAAGGTACTGAGCAATTAACTATGTCACAATCAATAAGAGTTGTATTCTTGAGAATACCTTCTAAGTCCTTCCCCATTCTCTTGGATATGTTTGTGCATGAGATCAGGGGATCCAGATAAGTTTAAAAGAAAAAAAAGATGCAGCAATCTCACTCTTAAGGTGATTCTTTTGTAGGATACCATTGGCCCAAGTGACAGTTTACCACATATAAAGCCACTAAAAGAACGTTCTTTTTGAAAATATTCTGATCTGAATTGTGAAAATTAGTAAAAATTTTATGAAGGTAGAGAAAAGATTTGAAGAAATTCATTTTATTTGTTTGAAGCCATTCAAAATAACTCTGACATTTATAGATCTTATTCATTCATTCGTTCATTCACTATCTATGAAGTACCTATCATGTGCAAAGCAATGTGCGAGATACTTTAGGAGATTCAAAGAAAATTCAGACACAGTCCTAGCCTTTAAGGGTCTTACAGTGTGGCCTTATTAAATTTTGATCATTTCTCAGCTCCCTTCCAACTACAAAAATCAGAATATGTTTTTCTATGACATTAGTCAAAAATCCCTTATTTCAAAGCCTGCCTGGGACCAGCCTTTCCTACCTTAGAAACTTTCAAATAATATTCTTGTCTAGCCAGCATCCAGATCCAGGCTTTTGATTCCTATCTATCTACCAGGGTGGTGTGAGAAACTTCTGGGGAAGCGTGCTTAGAACAAAAACAATGACTTCCTAGTGATGATGTTGGGAATAGGAAGAAGAAAAGGTGCAAAAAAAGGAGCTGATATTAGTCAGTCAGATAACAAACCTTTATTAATTTATTAAGCATTTACTATGTGCCAGGCACTGTGCTAAGCATTGGGGATATGAAGAAAGGCAAAAACACAGTCTCTACCCTCAAGGAGTACACATTCTAATGGGAGAGACCACATGAAAAAAATCATATATATGTGTATGTACATACACATACACGTGCACACACACAGTGTAAGTGGAAGGTAGCCTCAAAGGAAAGGCATAAGAGATGGGGAGGTGAAGGGGTCAGGGAAGAGGATGAAAGAGACTGAGGGAGGCCACTTGGAGGAGGTGAGATTTCAAGTTGGATCTTGAAGGAGCAAATCCAGGAGGCAAAGGGAAAGAGAGAGGGCATTCCAGGGATGGGAAACGGCCACCGCAGAAGCAAGAACAATAGCTCTCCTTTGAGATCTTCCAAATAGTTTTCACAATCATCCTCTGAAGTAGGCAGTACAACCATTAATTCCCCCATTTTCCAATGAGAAACTAGGCTCAGAGTCAAAGGACCTGAATTCAAATTCTGCCTTCTTCACCTGTGAATCGTCTAACCTGAGCCTTAGATTATTTACCTATAAAATGAAGTAGCCAAACAAGATGGCCTTGGGGGTCCTTCCAGCTCTAGAACTGAATGACCCCATGCCCTGAGGGTAGCAAGTGGCAGAACTGAGAGTCCACTTCATGTCTTCTGACTCAAGGCCCAGTGGTCTCTTCACTGCACTGAGTGTACAGAAACCACTTCTGCACTCTTTGGCACAATGTATAAAGCTCAATGACAGATATTTCCGGGGCAGGAAGGAGAACAGAGAAAATATTTCTCAGAAAGTTAAGGTGCAGTTTCTTTCTGTTCATAGAGAAAGCAATTACCTGTGGTCATCCTCACAGGAGAATGTAATGTTCCTGCCTTCTATAATGGATTTCAGCTCTTTGATGGAAGAACTTGAGCATGAATCACTGGAAAGGGAAAAAAAAAAGATGAAGAACACAAACCCTGAAAATCCAAATCCTCCCTGCCCCTGACTATTTTCCATGCAAGCTCAGTTTCCCTAGGAGTGTCTGCTTTTGAATGCATTCTGTCAATCACAACACCTCATTGACACATCATGAAATGATATTGTGTAAACTGTTGTTATTTAAAATTCAGATTACCTTGGTTGTCCCCCGATGTTGTGCATCACCCAAATCTTCATCAAATGAACTTTCTTTGGATTCAAATGGGGAACCTCCACACTTCCAAAAATGCTGAGACAGAGGGGACACAGAGCAGAACACAGTTTTCAATAGCAAATTCAAGACGTTGGCACACTTTAACTGGCTGTTAGAAATGATTACCCACTTAACCCAAGGGAGAATAAACTACCCATTTGGGATGAAAGGCATGATTTCTATTCTGAAATGCAGCATTTAGTCATTCAGCCATATGACCTTTCTTGCCACCACAATGTCCTCTGTTTTAAGTCAATAATAGGCATGTCAGGCTATGCACTGAGACTGATCTCTAGCAACATCAGCAAATATCTTCCCATAAGCCCAAGTGGAAGTCATGGAGTGAATCCTTCTCATTATAAATTGTGACAAGTCAGGGTTAGTCCCACTTTTTGATAGGATTTCCCTAGGTCCTTTTGTTAGTCCAGATACACCTGTGCATTGAAGAATATATGCACCTCTCTCTGTCTCTGTCTCTCTGTCTCTGCCTCTCTCCATAAATACACACATACACACACACACACACATATATATATACATATATATGTATATGTATATGTACATATATATATACATATATATGTATATGTATATGTACATGTATATATGTATATGTGTATGTATAAACACATATACACATATATGTGCACGCATACATATGTACATATATGCATACATATTCATATGTACACACTTTATTTCTAGCCCTACAGCCCATTCCCATGATCCTTCTTCAGGCATTTCTGAGAGCAATGCCTGCATTAATCACTCACAGGCATTACTTCTCACCCCAATAAGACAGTCTTGCAAGAACTTGTATCATATATTAGCAACTTGACTATAATGCTCTGGAATGTTAATTTTTTTTTTACCCAAAGCTCTCAAAGGGAATGAAATAAGAGATAAAAACTTTTTTTTGTCAGAATTGACTCTGTGTTGAGAAAGGCATTTGATCAATTGATCAACAAATACTTATTGACCTTAAATCTCCAGTGACATGCTTTTGGGAGGAGAAAGGGAGTTCAGGAAAAGGAAGTCGTAGGAGAGGTTACTCTGTGCCCAGCACTGTGCTAGAAAAAATAGAAAAGTTTAAGAAATGGCCCCTCCTTTCGTGGTGCTTATAATAGAGTTATGCAAATGAAACTCATACACATGAGTTAATTAAAGAACAATTAAGGATAGGAATGCAAGGAAGTGTAGTAGAAAGGATACAGAACTGAAAAGGGCCTGGATTCAGATCCTTCCATGACCACCTTCGTCTTGTGACCTTGGACAAATGACTTCCTCTTTCTGAGTCTCAGTTTCCTCATCAGTAAAATAAGGGAAATGGACTAGAGCAGTTGTGTAAAACTGAAATAGAAATTTATCCCTGCAACTTACATATTGATTTAGAAAACCACAAATTAACATTATCTGTTATATTTCATTTTCATTTATTTTGGTAAATATTCCCCCATTACATTTTAATCTGGTTTGGTGGTTCTCAAAGTTTTGTCTCAGTGGTAAGTTTGACACCATAGTCCCAAAACTAAAACTTATGATCTTCTGATCTTTAAGTAGAAAGAGCCCTAGATTTGGAGTCAGAGGGCCAGGATTCCTACAGTAGGCATTTACAATGCTTGTTCACCTCCACCTAAAGAGTCTGTCTCTCTCTCTTCTTTCAAGACTCAGATTTAGGGGGCAGCTAGGTAGCACAATGGATAGAGCACTGGCCCTGAAGTCAGGAGAACCTGAGTTCAAATCAGCTAGAACCAAACACTTGACACTAGCTGTGTGACCCTGGGCAAGTCACTTAACCCCAGTTGCCTAAAATTTTTTTTAAAAAAGACTTAGATTAAGCATCATCTTTTATCTGAAGTCTTTCCTAATCCCCCCAATTGCTAGTGCCCTCCTTCCCAAACTCTTTATTTGTTTGTATTTATTTACTTTTCTCAGGCTGTATATATTTTCACATCTATTTGTTGCCTCCTCTATTAGAATGTCAGCTCCTGGCCAGTAGGGATTAGTCCTTCTTTGTAGGTATATCCCCAGCCCCTAGGACAGTGCCTGGTATCTAGAAGGTGCTTGATTGAATTGAATATAATGAAACACTTTGGGAAACTTAGTCTGGTAATGGAGTCCAGGAATTTTAACTTTTTTTTTGGCCCAGAGCTTCAAGGAGACAAAAAATACTGAATCACAAATCTCCCAAGACTGAAATTTAATTTAATTTAACTATCCAGAAGATAAACCCGCACATGCATATGCATAATCTCACACATACATACAAGATATAACAACAACAACTAGTACCTGCTGTTTCCAAAGGGTTGGTTGATTGACCCATTGAGCATCACATGGACAACACCACAGGCTGCTTCTGCAAACTGAAAACATGCCCACCATTCTTGTGTGTGACAACGTTTAGCTTGACTAGATGATTATGTAGAAATTGTTGGTGGTTTGAACATTAAAAAGACCTCTTAGGAGATAGTAGGGAAAGCTTGGTGTTGTTTTGGGGAATAGCTGAAAGAGAAAACAGCTGATTGTCTCATAACTTACCTTAGAGTATTTAAAGATGCCAGAGAGTAGGAAAGGGGCTGCTGTATGGACAAGGGGTGGGAAGAGGATATGTGGACACCAGCTAATACTTGGATATGAGAGAACAGAGTAATGAGAGAGTGTTTGGTGAGTCAGTGAGATGCTTGCAGGAAACAATGGGAAATGTGATAAGGTTGTGGTTCCAATAGCATTTGGTCCTGGGTCTCCTGCCTTTATGCATCATTGTGGTAAGTGGGGATGTTCACAAGTGCCTGTGTGTAGTCCTCCAAGTTCACACACAAGCAGGCACCAGACCTGGGGAAATAATGATATAGTTGGATCCAACCTAACACTGCCCATCTGAATGATAATAGCTATTTACTTCTATTTTCCTGTCCCTAGAGAAGTCACTGGGAAAAGGTAACACTTATTATGGCCTAAACTCTGAAAAGGGGGCAGCTAGGTGGTGCAGGGATAGAGCACTGGCCCTGGAGTCAGCAGGACCTGAGTTCAAATCTGTCCTCAGACAGATAACACTCACCAGCTATGTGACTCTGGGCAAGTCACTTAACCCCAATTGCCTCACAAAAATAAATAAATAAATAAATAAATAAACTCTGGAAAAAAAATGATTATTTTAGCAAGTGAATGTGTGAACTAATTAGTAAATGTATTTTTCCATTGAAATTTGGTTGGAGAGCCATATTCCCAATCTTTCTGGATTCTGATGAAGTGTTGAAAAGCAGAATTAAAAGGCAACACAGTACTCTCTCTTTCTCTCTCTCTGCCTCCCACCCTCTCTCAGGATTTTTATGAGGATCAAAGGAGATAATATAGCTATTTAAACTTGGTAAGGACCTGCTAAGATTTAGTTGTTTTCCTAAAAGTAAGTGAGAATATTAATTTGAATGGATAAAATGAAAAGTCTGGTGATAGGAGAAACCAATCAGGATTAAGTGACTTGTCCAGGATCTCCCTACCCCCATACTCAACCACAGAAACATTTATGTGACTTTAAATCTGTCTTTGGCTTTCCAAATGGAGAATGGGCAGAATTGTAGAATTGTGATTCAGCAATAAAGCTCTAGACTGAGAATCAGAAGAAATAACTTGGCCACAAATAGCTATTTGGCTTGAAAGAAGTTGCTTAACCTCTCTGGATTTCGGTTTCCTCCTCTGTAAAATGAAGAGTTGGATTATAAGACCTCTGAGTTTCCTTCCAGCTCTTACATTTTATGGATATAATCAGGCTGAATAATTACGAGTTAAAAAAAAGCCACTGGTTTGGAGAACATCACTCATACTTTCACAGCTCATGATATCCCTGAGTTAAAGGTAGTACAAGAATTATTCCCATTTTATAGGTAAGAAAACTGAGGCATATAAACTTGCAGACAGTCACATGGCTAATAAGTTAGCACAGCCTTAAACCTTGGTCTTCTTACTCCAAGGCCTAATACCCTTTATTCTATGATACCTTGCCAGGATATGAGTTACTTGAAAAGAAAGGGATTTAAATTACACCTTTCCAGAAGGCCATGATACCCTTCAGTTTTCAATCATCTTTTCCCCAACAGAACTCACTTTCCTCTAACACTTACTAATTATCATTAATTTGTCATGTCCTATTTTTTACTATAGTTATTCCTGAATGTGGAATCCACCCATTAAACTATAGGCTTACTGAAGGCAAATCTTTCCATGCTCTCACCCCATCACCTAGAATGCTAGGTACATTTCATCAAGGACATCTGATTTCATTAGTGTGCCCATTTCCTCAACCACAGCAGATCACAAAACTTATGAATGATGCCTTATTAAAATAGTTTTCGAAGACTGCTGTGGCCAAAAATTCCATTCCCCTGAGGCCAACCCTGTGATGGGCCTGCCTAAGCAGAAGCAAGTTGATTCTTGGATGACAGATACACAGTCCACCCCTGGGCCTGTCCTCAAAGCCTCTCTACGTTGCCAGGACTTGCCACGGTTCATTTTCTGTTGCCATAGCCTTTAAGAACCCATGGTCACCATTATACCATGATAACACATCAGAGGAAGACTTTAGTGAAAGATGGCTCTATCCAAAGCATGGAGCTTAATAAATAAATTGAATTTGTTGTTGCTGTTACTGTCTGACATTTGTACAGTATTTTACATTCATTATCTCATTTGATCCTAACAACCCTGTACGTTAGACACTAAGTTTTTACTAATGAGGAAACTGAGGCCCAGAAAAAAGGCTAAGTGACATGCCCATTGTCACATATCTAGTAGGTATTGGAAGAAGGATTTAAACACATCTCTCCTGACTCCAAGTCTAACACCTTTTCTACTGTGAGATTCGCGTTTCACAAGGAGGCGCATGATTGAATAAAGGTCTAGATTATAGAAAGACGGGTTTTTGTACTTCTCTCTAGATTAGGTAAAAATCCTGGTGAGACGGAGCACAAAGAGCAGCCTCTCATGGCCTTTTCAAAAACATTACTGGCAGCTTGACTATTGCCTTCTAACTCAACTTACATTTAGAAACAAGGGTAGCAATTCATAGTGTTTGTGATGGAAGAGGTTTTTGTTAGCTAGTTAGTTTGTTTTTAATCTTAGAGAGCATAGTGGCCCAGAAAGAACAGGGAGATATTGGAGATTGGGGGAAATGTGAAAGAAGGTCAGGGAGATCTCCAGAGATGATTGGATTGCGTCTTATTCTTGTCTGTGTCAGGGAGCTGTAAGAATATGTAAAATACCAATGAAAGGTAGATTGTTTTGTCCTATCTCCAGAAAAGGCAAGGAATCTACTCTAGATAAATTAAGCCTTGCGCAGGAACCCCTACTACTTAAAGACCCAGCCCAAATAACAGGCATGAAAATAGAAAGTTTACCCTAACAATTAGTCACAAAGGTTAGTGAAGAGAGCTAGCAAAATGAAGTGATGGAATTGGATCTTGATTTGAGGAAATTCAGAGGGAATCTGGTGGTAACCTACAGAGCATATGGCCTGTTTATGCTGTTACCTAGGCAACACGATATATAAACATTGTGCATATTGGGAGAAAGCCACAGACTCAAAGAAACAAATCTCCCCTCCCCAGGTCATCAGGGACAATGAAGGGGAAAATTGCTTCAATGAGGAAATGAAATAAATGGAAATAAAGGATAGGAGGGAATTTTCCCATGTATCAGAAAGCTGAAGGGTAGAAGAATGTGCTACAGAGAAGGAAGGGAAGAAGAAAGATCCTTGAATAATTGGAGGTAAGTAATAGTTATGAGACTCTTCCTGTAGAGAGAGAACTATACTGTCTTAGAAGGAAGCAATCTCTTGTGCTACAAGAAAGGTGATTTGTATGTACCAGGTAATAGGTCCTCCAGAAATTAATTACAGGAAGTAGAAGTAAATAGGAGTGGTTAGTGGCACTTCGCTGAGGATTCCTGGGGCAGCTACTGTCAACTCAACATGGAAGACAAAGAGTTTTGTTGTTATCTCAGGCTAAGTGAGAAAAGCTTCCCAAGACTTGTTAATGCTGGTGACTGCTACCCATTTCTGGTGACATATGTTGGGAAAAATTATTTCATCAGAAGGAACCTGTAAAACTTTGCTAAGAATTTATAGTTATGGGGGGGGGGGAATCCTGAAAACTTCAGGGGCACAGGTGGTGTTTTTACCACTACTTTTGATAGAAAGAAGGGAATGGAAAAGGGAAAGGCAGTTGTGGGGAATGAAAAACTCTCTAAGAATATGGTATCTGAGAGGATTTTGGAGAATGGAATAAATATGGGAACAATGACTCCTTGTCCAAAAAAGAAGTATACCTAAGGGTGAGCAAAAATATATTTACATGTATTCTTATTAATCTGATCAAGAAACATCTAAACTTGAAAAAGGATGAGAAAGGAATGCCCACAAAAACATTATCTGCCTGTTACCATAAGCATTGCAATAAGTTTGATTTTAATTCTTGGGAAAATCCTGGAATGGATCATTAAAAAGATGCTTAGTGAGTGAACATTTAGAAAAGGATGTGATGATTACACAGAACTAGCAATAGTTCCATTCCAATTAATGGAAAGCTGTAGATAGAGATTAACTATATTTCAGAAAAGCATGTTAGAAATTTTCGTATTATTCTCATGAAAAAGATGGAGGAAGGACAGAAAACAAATGCTTGCAAATTTAAAAAAAAGTTTTCATTTTTAAAAGAAAAACATGGAGAGAAGTTTGCTAGACAATACATTATTTATATAGATTTTTAAAATAATGTGAGTAGTTCTTATCAGAGAATAATTATTATGATTCAGTGTCAACTTGGCAGCTTTTCCACTGAAGTGCTCTTGACTTCTTTGCTTGGCTTTGTACTGCTTATGATTTTGTCAATGATTTCAATAAAGGTGTAGATCATATGCTCATCAAATTAGCAGATGACACAAAACTGAGAAGAAAAACCAACACACTGGATTAGAGAGTCAGAATCAAAAAAGACATAGACAAGACTATACTATTGGGCTGAATCTAATAAGATTAAAATTTAATAGGGATGAAAAAGTCAGCTTCATAACTACAGAATAGATAGCATTTAGATCGAAGTATGCTATTTTCTCTTTTTTTGTTTTTTGTCTTTTCTTTCACATGGTTTTTCCCTTTTTTTCTGATTCTTCTTTTATAACATGACTAATGTGGAAATATGTTTAATATGATTGTACAAATATAGCCCCTATCAGATTGCATGTTGTGTTGGAGAGGGGAAAGGGGAAGGGGGGAGGGGGAAATTTAGAACTCAAAATCTTATAAAAGTGAATGTTGTTCTATCAGGTATTCTTGCTTAGGTGTTTTCCTTTGTTACATGGGATAGAGTTGAGG